GGTCGCAAGCAAGTCCTACACGAAACAAGTATCTGAGTTTGCTCGGTGTCATTGTGCGCTCATTCCAACGTTCAACTTCATTCAGGCTAGCTGAAAACTCTCATCGATCCAATTCAGTTTTCTATTTCCTTTCGTGTGCATAAGTCCCCCACAAGGGAGGAACCTGAATAAAACTAGTTTTTCTGTCAAGGAAGAAAGCTCAAGAAGGACTCATCAAGACCAACAATGAGTTCCCCTATTGCTCGCGTCCTCTCCTCGTCAGCAGCAGATGCCCCCCGTGCCGGTCTGGTCCCCGAGCGGGTAGCCGTCGACGCGAATGATCGTACTGAAGCGACACCGACAACTGACTCCAACCAAGCAGCCTCGGTGCATCGCCAGTTCGATGCGTCTCTGGACCAAGCATTTAGCCGCATGAATGTTGGTCCCGCGCCAAGGCTCTCGGCAATGTCGTTGCCATTGACCCCCGAAACATTCCTGCAAGGGCCATTTTCCGATCGAAAAAGACGCGCCTCAATTGCACAAAGTGTCGCTGCCGACAGCGACCAACCGGCCGAAAATGCTTCCCACGCAGCGACAACAAGCGGTCCGGCTCCTGGCCAGGTAACGCCCGGGTAGCCACAAATACAAGGAATGCCCCATACTCCAACACCTCCCCGCTATGACGGTTCCACTGCGTTGGAGAAAAGAAATTCATGCAAGCAAACCAAGAGTATTGGTTCCAGTGCGCGTCCCTGCGCCAGTTGGGGTTCCAACCCTACGTTACAGTGACCGACGGAATGGAACGCCACCCGAAGTTTCGACGAATGCAACTCTACTTTTGTCCAATAACACATCACCAAAAAAATAATGCAACCTGATTGGCTTGTGAAATTTTTTTCCCGCCGGCGCGAGTTCCCTTTAAATTGTGATTGCCTTTCATTCAGCATTTCATGACCGTGAACTCAACACTTCGAACGCCAAAGCGGTCGTACACCGTGGCGTTGAAGGTGCAGGTGCTAAAACTCCTTGAGACTTCAAGCCAGCTCCATGTCTCCAAGGAACTCGGCATACCTAGGCGAACCATTCGTTCTTGGGTCAGTCAGCGCAACGAAATCCTCAAATACAAAGGCAACAAAAAGCGTATGAAA